GAGTGGCAGAATCCAGGACACCATCCTGTGGGAGGAGTCCCTTGCTTGATGCAGAGGCTGGAGGCATTTGGAGATGGGCAGACCCAGGGGATTCTTGGGGATACTGCCAGGGGTGGGGTTGACAGCCCCTTCCCTGAGCCAGCCCCGGTTGCTGCTGTGTGTGGCTTTGATGAATAAGAGATGAGGAAGCAGATTAATTATGGCTTAATATGCACCAAAGATGGGCAGAGGGACTTGTTGGGGTGGGAGTCCTCAGGGGGTGCAGAGCTGATGATGGAAGGCCAGGACACTCTCTGTAGCCCTGAGGCTGGGGGATGGTGAGAGGCTTCTGGAGGAAGCAGGGGCTGTGGGTAAAGTGTGGCCTGAGAGGGGCTGCCAAGATGTGTGTCTACCTAAACTCCCCAGACCCCCACTTCTAGTCTGTAAAATGGGTGGTGCTAGTGGTGTCTGCATCATGGGACTGAATGAGACAACGTACTTAGCAAATCTGGCACAGAGTCCTCTCGGGCCTTGGGCACACAGCCGCCCTCTGCAGTGGGAGCAGATGGCAGGCCTGCACCCCCCAGCTCCCTGGCACTGGGACCACTTCCCCAGCTCCCACTTGGAGTGCTGGGCAGGGTCGGTCACATTGGCACAATTGGGTGGCAACCGCAGGTTTGCTGCATGACCTTTGAGCTTCCTTCCTGGTCTCTCCTTGCACTGACCCAGGGTGGCCCAGAACATGTGCCACAAAGACCCAGTTCCCTTGCTTCCCCACACCTCCCAGAGAGGATGCTGAGGGCCTGGATGCCCATGGGTACCACACAGGGATGCCTGAGCAAAGCCATGACAGACCTGTCTCTCAGAATAGACACAAGCCTCCCCAAGCCCTTGGAACAGCGACCTAAGGAGGCTGAACTGTGTCCCTGTCAGCCCAGGACCAGCCATAGTGAAAGTAAGCAGACCTAGAAGTTTCAGTGAAAACACCGCATTGTCCTGGTGGGACCCTGCACAGTCCCCTGAGGGCACAGGACAGGTGGACAAAGGAGGAAAGGTGACCAGCTGCTGACACCCAGAAGCATTAGTGTCTGCCTTGTCCACATGCTGCACGAAACTCAGAGAGGCCAAGAGGCTAGGCCAAGGCCACACAGCTGGACAGGGCTTGCTCACGCCTAATATGCTGGTCACGGTGGCTGAGTCCCAGGGTGGGGTGGGTGGGAGATGAGGTGGCCCTGTGGCAGTACCAGGCCTCACTGGAGGGGCATGGTGGGCTGGGTGAACTGGCAGGAGGCTGTGCCCTATGTGTGGTGGGCCTGGGGGCAGGGAGCAATTCAGGCAGCTGCTGCCAGTGTGTTCTAAGGGCCCAGCCCAGGCATGGTGTGACAGATCTGTTCAGCCCTGAGAGCAGAGCTGTCTGCAGTATCCAACCCATGTCCACTCCTTATCCCCAGGACCACTTCTCCAAAAAGCCCAGGAACTCAGATCAGCCCAAACAGCCTGTCATCTCAGCACCCCTGCCGGGGCTTCCCAGGAACTGATTGGTGTAGACTGCATCAAAGGGGCAGTTGGCCACCAGGGTTCTCCCACAGGGGTCACCCCCTAAGGCTGGCTGTGCCCCTTGACCAGAGGCTCCAGCCCCTGCTAAGCCCTCCCCACTGACCCCTCACCAGCTGTTGGCTGCCATCCCTCCCTTGCCCTTTGGGCCCTGAGTGGTGATGGTGCCACAGATGCCATTTGGGAAGTGCTCCATCCCCCATGCTGCCCCGCACCTTCCACACCCTGATAAATCCTCCCATGCTCCCAGCCTAAGGAGTGAGCTGTGTTTTGCTGGAGGCAGACTGAAGAGCCACCCAGCCCGGCTCAGCTCCCTCTTTGTCCCCCATGGGCTCCCTCACTGCTAGCAGACGCCTGCCTGCCCTAGACAACACCCAGGAGTCCTCCCACAGGCTGGGCCTCCAGAGGGGAGGGCGCTGTCCAAGGTACCGAACTGGGGGGGTGGGCACAGCAAACCTGCCTTGAAGTCCCTGGCCACCAGGCTTTCTCTGCAGGCCTCGGCCTTGCTCCCACCACACAGACCTGTGGGCAGGAGGGAGGCCCAGGCTCCATCCCAGATCAGCCAGAAACAGCCAGGCTTGGAGTCTGGAGCGAGTTCCAGTGCCAGTGGCCTCCATGACAGCACTGGCTCCCTTCTCCCTCCCACACCCACCCCATGCCCCAGAATGGCCACCCCAGCTGCTGCAGGAGGGGATGGGGGTGGGGATTGAACCTACAGGGGGTGAGATCACAATCTTCAGCTATGGTAGACAGTCCTGGGTCACTGATAATCAAAGCCACCCATGAGTGGTCAGCATGAAAATGTCCTCTCAAGGCAGCTATACAAGCACAGGGCAGCACTGGACTGGAGCATGGTCCATGCTAGCCCTGTCCTCAGACTGATGGTCAGTGCCACATGACTTGTCTTCAGTCTGAGTGGGAGAGCTCAATTTTTGGTTTGGGCACTGCTGTGTGCAAGGATCCTAGAGGAAGGGAGCCACATAGGGGACAGGCCTCAGCCACCCGCTGGCTCTGTGAGCTTGGCCTTGGGTTCCCCATCTGTACAATGGGTGACAAACCTCCTATGTGTGTGGGGGAGGATGCACTGAGCCACAACAGGGGTGAGCCTGTTTCTGAGGGGTGAGAACTCAGCAACCAGCACAACCAGCTGTGTGTGCACGCCCTGTCCATTCAGGGGGCCAGTGGGGGAGAGGGATTGGGGATGTCTGGGCTCCACCTCACTTCTCATGTGGCTGGGAATTGAATGCACTCCATAATAACCTGGAAAACCAAGGCTGTGACAAGGCTGACAGAGACAAAGCAGGCAAAGGGTGGTCTAGGCCACAAAGCGGCAGCCAGAGGGGTCTGGGCAATGCAGCCTCCACACCAAGTCAGAGGGCCAACCCAGGAGGGGTACCACCTCTGGTACCCACCCCATGAGGCTACCTGCCACCCCATGCTCAGATGGGAGCACTAGGGATGTGGAAGGCCACCTCAGCAAGATGGGTGAGCCACCACCAGCCCTGTGCTCTGCTTATCTCCTGCAAAGCCACCTCCATGGTCAGGGGGTTCAGTCTGGGGGGAGAATACACAGGGCTTCCCAGTTACCAGGTCTCTCTGCTTCATATCACTAGATGATGCTGACTGGGGGACCACCAAGCCCTCAGTCAGGACACTGCAGCTGCAGGAAGGTACTCGGGACTGGCCTGGGCACAGGGTCCTACAGACTGGCACCAACTTGGCCAGCCAGTCCCCCATCCATGTGATCCTCTTACCTGCAGGGTGGGCTTGGAAAGTCCCAGGCCCAGGGGATGGAGAAGAACCCAGGCCTGGCTGACCCAGCTCCCAGCACTCCTCCATGTACAGGGCAGCTTGCAGGGGCACTGGCCTGGCAGCTGGCTGAAGACCCCGGGGTGCACTCAGGAGCTCATCTGTGAGGCCTGGTAGATCTCCTGAGCAGGAGGGAGATGGGACATCTGTGCATGTGTGTGTGTGGTGGGGGGGGGGGGCGGAAGGGGTCATTGGGTTCTCTGGCCCCACAGCTGAGGCTGGCTTGTATACTAAGTAGGTGGGCTCCTAGGGAGGGTTCCGGGTTTGGAGCCCGAGGAGGGAAGGGGGGGCGGCACCTTCGGGGGTAGTCCTGGATCCCCTCTCTGGGCGGGGGCCCCAGAACTGTGTTAAACTTTGAGCCTCAGTTTTCTTACTGAAAAATGGGGTCAAGCCTATCCCACTCTTTGCTGAGCAGGGGGTAGGGACTCCAGGATTTAGTGGGACAAGGAAGCGGGCGGACCAGGCAGAGACCTGGCGCAGGGGGGGGGGGGGGGGGCGGAAGGTGTCATTGGGTTCTCTGGCCCCACAGCTGAGGCTGGCTTGTATACTAAGTAGGTGGGCTCCTAGGGAGGGTTCCGGGTTTGGAGCCCGAGGAGGGAAGGGGGGGCGGCACCTTCGGGGGTAGTCCTGGATCCCCTCTCTGGGCGGGGGCCCCAGAACTGTGTTAAACTTTGAGCCTCAGTTTTCTTACTGAAAAATGGGGTCAAGCCTATCCCACTCTTTGCTGAGCAGGGGGTAGGGACTCCAGGATTTAGTGGGACAAGGAAGCGGGCGGACCAGGCAGAGACCTGGCGCAGCTCTCCCATCCCCGGGCCTCGGGACAAAGTCCTTGCCCGCTTGGAGACCCGGACAGCCCGGGCAGCCACGCCCTCGAGCCCGCGCCCCAGCCTGCTTTGGCCCGGGCCGCCATGCCCGCGGCCGCCTGCAGGGGCCGCCGCCTCTTCAGGAATGCGCCGCCTTTGTCTGGGGCC